ATCTCAGCGAAGGTTAAATCAGTGCTGATTTCGTGTAGAAAGAAGGACTGAGCTTCCTTGGCCAGAATCGAAGGAAAACACCATGGAATTTAGACGGAGGAATGTTTGCTTGACGGCACACGCTCATGAATTTCGGATCTTGTCATCGAAGATATCGTATGGTTCGCCGGTATAGGCTAGTTTCTTGTCCCATATCTTAATGAATCTAATCGTGAGATCGGCCTCAACTTCCTCGTTCTCGAATCGAACAGGTGGAATGCTCGTGTATGCATCTCGGAAGTTGGTAGTCCGTACGGGGAGCGTCTGCTGATACCGAGGGATTCGCGCCATTGATGCTGAGGCTCTTGCTGAGCGGGTTGATGGGTCTCAATGATCTGAGGGATTCCGGTTCCGCCGGTCGGGTAATAGTTGGCTGCTGGATTACTACCGGTGCCGGTGACGATATAGCCGCTTTAACAGTTCCTTGGAGCAGCTTCTGTTTCACCTTATATGCCACGGTGTTTTCAGCAACCTCTTGACCAAGCAACTCGTTCTCATCCCATTCAGGAAGTTCGTTACTTGTTAGAAGGCCACATAAAGCTCGAGAGATGCTAGAGTTGGCCTTGCCCATATAGATCCCCCTAATTCTGAGAAGCGTCCGGAGTCTTGATCTAAGGCGTGGGTTGATTAGTTCGAAGTCATCATAGCTCCATCCCGTGAAGTCGTTATACAGATCCCCAAGCAGGGCAATTCCGTGGTTACGTTTATCCACCGTGTATGTTGCCACACAGCCTAAGAAGAAGCTGTTGCGGTGGACAAGGAGGAGCTCTGGGTGATAGGTTCGTTGAGGAAATCCGCGTCGAAATGCCTGATCGGGAGTGAAGGAGCTCCACGATCGTCAGGTTCCGTTCAACGAGTTGCCTGTCTTCGAGAGACACGTTGGCCGGGGTATCCTGGGCTGTTGCCGGGGCTAGTGCGGCAGATGAATTGTCAGACATATTGACAGGCTGTGTGCTGAGAAACAGGGCACAGGGTGTCAATGAGGTTATCAATGTGCGATAGGGCACGCCTAAGGGTCGCTGATGACAGCAAAGCTTAGGCACGGTTGGATAACTAGAGTGGGCTCTGATGCAGAGTCTTCGTAGCAATCCGCGCGTTGTAGCAACTATCCTACCGTCAGGAGCTCGCTTTGCAGAGCGTGACGATAGGTTAGCTCTCTTCCGTCTTGCTGTTCTGTGTCACCTTTGCCGGGCGACACTGATCAGTGTGGACAGGCTCTTCACTGCAGTGAGGTTATTCGAACTGGTTCAATTGGTTATATCTTGTGTAACTAGGGAAACGTGTCCCATACAAACTGTGTGCAAAGACCTTCCTCCCTGTGTCTCACCTCTTACTCGCACGTGACTAGCGCGGTCGATTAGTTATACGTGCGCGATCGGTGCCTAGTGCACAGGTGGATCCAACACCCTCACTTGATCTCCCGGAATCATACCAGTGTGTTCCAGACTATAGCCACGCTTTGTTAGTAAATTTGCCTTGCTTTTATAATTTATAGAAAGCACCCTTCCTGATTAATTAATCACACTAGACAAGAAGCCCTTTCCGTCTACGCTATACCTGGTGCCAAATGCTATATTGTGTTCCTTTATTTTTATCCGCGCCTTCCACCGTTATCGGCAGGGCGACGCACCGAGGGTCGAGGGGGTCACAGCTAAATCCTGTCATTACGAATACTAGGTGATGCCATTTGGGCTGGCCAACGCTCCCGCCTCGTTCCAGCAGTATATCAATGACGCGCTAGAGGGTCTGGTTGACATTATCTGTGTTGTCTACTCATCTTCAGTGAAGACCCGGAACAGCACAAAAGTCAAGTTAAAGGGGTCCTATAGAAATTGCTAAGAGCAGGACTATAAGCTAGCCTGAGCAAATGCGAATTCTCGGTAAAGACAGCTGCCTTCCCCGGCTTCGTAGTCGACGAATAAGGGATCCACATGACGAAGAACGAATCCACGCTATCGCAGAATGGCCAGCGCCCCGTTCCGTTGAGGACATATAGATTTTCTTAGGTTTTACAGGGCTTTATAGCCGCTTTATTAAGAACTATAGCAAGATCGTCTCTGCGCTCCCTATGTTCCTAAAGTCATCAGCGGCCAATGGCAAGAGGATATGGTAGGAGCCCATCATGACAAATGCGTGGCCAAACATATAATTCTTACCAACCTTGTACAAATTAACAGGCGGAGCATACGGATGGGGCTTGGGGTAGCTCGCATATTCGTTTCTAAACGCGCCACGGCGTATGTATCTGACATAGTTCCTTTTAATTGTAATTTCGACTCTTTCGACATCCCGAGACATGAATAAGCGTATAGCGTGATCAATGAGAGCCTTCGCACAGTGCTTAACATCACCAAACTGACTCTAGCCAAATTCGTGAAGCAAGGGCTAGGGGGTAGCATCGCGGTAATTGTGAGTGCAAAAGCTTGCTCGCTTGAGTATAGTTTGCCGTGAGCATTGATGTCTGATGATCACAACCTATAAGCACAAAACGGGCAACTTAACGATGAGCTTGTGGGATTGATCCGGGATCTTCGCCCATCAATAAGGATTTTTTTAGTCACAATGTACGGCGTTGCACCGCCGCAACTATCTCCAAGCTCTTGCCGAATAATAGTACGTCTCCAATTATACAGGCTGGCTCTCCAGTGAGCAGTGCCTACCACGCCGGTCTAGCTATGGCATTACTCAGCTACCGCCACGGAAGCTCGCCAGGTCGAACATTGTGGAAAAGATGACCCTAAGGAGGTACAGTCGCCGGGGAGATAGAACGGCCGCGTCACTCTCACGCTCGGAGACCGCCGGACCGAAATGAAGGAGGCTATTGCCTCTATGAGAAACCAGTAGCTCGACGAAATATAATACTCAGAAGACGGCTTTTCCGCATGTTCACGAAGGCGCAAGGTCCTAGACGACGTCAAAGAAGAGAGCCATCCATTCTCTCTAGGCTAAGAGGATGTCTAGGGCGAAAGTAAGTTTAGACTGGTGACTCACGACTTACCAGTCCATGGCTGACCGCTGGGAGTTTTAGCTTTGTGCAAATGGAGGCTCCTTCTTGCTGAGATGCTCCAGACATATGATCTAAATCTTTTGAACGAAAAGATCGATTCTATTAACGCTATCAACGATAGCCGGGTATTTGGTATGTGGTGGAAGCTAGAACTCATGGTCGGATTTCAAAGGAGGGGTTCGACTTCCACTCACTTAAAGAGCTAATCTAACCTCCTACAAAGCAGGAACACTGTATAAAATTCTCTTAACAGGCGTCTTAAAATTTATATAAAAGTCAAAAGTACATTAATAGTGTTATGTATAGAATTACTAGCTAAGAGGGATAAGACTATATATATGTATAGCTATTACTGGTATGCCCCCTTCACTTTAGGCCTCTATGGGAGCTTGGAGAGAGGAACGCTGGAGATGGTTGCCCTGGAAATGTCACTATTACGGCTCATCAGGGTAGGAAGCGATGCTTGACTTCAATGCTCAGTCACAGATACTGTTGAGGAGAGTGGACATAAGAGGCCACAATCATGCCCAGTGGACCCAATAGTCATGCACAAGGAAGCCTGCCTGACCAACATGACCTGACTCAGGTATAGGAACATCTCAATACCCTCTTTTGGCTAGCTATGTGTGGTCACTGTACCTATATAAGCCCCTCCCTTGTCCCAATAGATAGACCAAGACATGCATCACTAAATTCACCTTTCTGTGCCCCTATTTCTTCCACTGTGCTCTCAAGCCACTGCTTTGAGAGATACCCATCCTGAGCTCGAATGAGATGATTGTATAGTGCGGGCTTTCACGGGGCAATCCGGGCTATTCCATTTCTTCCATAAAAGGGCAAATTCTGATAAACTTCCGATCACATGGTAATGATGCAGTTCAAGATGATTAAATATCGTGTAGTGCTGAAATAAACAACCATTAGACGAAAGACGCAGGGGATGCTCTCCAAGTTAGAGTCTCTCAGTTGCAACGAAGGGAATCCTGTAAATATAAAAGCTCTCTATGTGACGACGCAGCGAAGAGGAAAAAATGGGAGCATATGATGAGCTTCCATTTAACAGAACGAAGACCGCCGTACTCAACCGGAGCCCCTTTTGCATCCTTTCGCCGAAGTGTGTGCTAAAGCTAGTCTGGTAGTGTAGTCACGAGCCACCTAGAGCGCATCTCTACGGCGAAATTGTGCCACAAATTACTGCAAGAACACGAAGCACGGCGATTATGCTTCGGCCGGACGTCAAGCCTCCTGCATCCAGGCCATGCAGTTCCAAATCTTGGGCTTTTTGAGTTCCGGTTTGCGCCATGGCTTTGTGAATGCAGGCGATAACCAATGGTGAGAACTGCGCCATCAATCATCAATGATGGCAAAGCTGTCTTTCTAATCCACGAGATCAAAATGGGGAAAGCTTCGTTGTTTCATTGTTCAATGCAATATGATTTGCAAGTGGCTGCTGCCCGCTCTGCCCCCTCCATCACGACATACAGGGCTAGAACTTCGCGTCGGCCGCCCATGGCTATATGATTGGACGGCCCTTTGATCACTCCCGTGGTGGTCGGTGTTTTGATAGTGCCAGCTTAGAGGAATCCGGAGAACTGGCGCTTGTTGGACATGAGTCTGGTCTGAAAGCGTAAGGGGGAAAATCAAGGCAATCGTGATCAAAGACATTTATTTCATCGAGAGTTCAAGCCTTGTTTAAACTATAAGCCGCCGGCTGTTTGTCTGTCATGCCGTCAAGGGCCCACCACAGTAACCACTTCTCGTTGTGTTACTCCGTATTTATACCGTATTCACTTTTCGCCCTTGTCTTGTCAAATCATCCACCTTTACTGACGTTTCTCAGGCTGGGGTAAAGACTACATGGGCGGAGGGTGAAACACCTTCCTGGTCCATTCTCGACCGAGCAAAGCCCCTACCACACATATTGGCATCGCCGCCAGCGTAACCACGACCGCTCATGTCGTCTGAGAAAGAAGCTGACGATGCTGCCAAGCACGGCGGCACCAACGATCCGCCAGCACCGGCCGGGCGCCGCTCGGGAGACAAAGAAAAGACAGCAAGCACATCGACATGCCCTTCATCGTTGTCGACGGACGAGGACCTGGCGACCTCGCTCAGGCAGCTGCTGGTCGAGCACGAGCTGGATCAAAACTTCCCGCGCGACATTCTGGCCCGGGCGCAGCAGTTCCTGCAAAGCCACAAGGATGGTACCGTCGATGTGGACGTGGCGCGGCAACTGGTCGAGGACTTTCGCGAATACAAGGAGCTGAAGCTCAACAACTCGGCGTACGTCGAGGTGCGAGCCGTTGTCGAAACAACAGACGACCCGAGCTTGCCCGTGGGTACGTTCCGCGTGCTGTTGATCGGCACGCTCTTCGTTCTTTTCGGCACGGCCATGCATCAGTTCTTCTCGTTGCGCATGCCGAGTATCTCCCTCTCGACGTTCGTTGTCCAGCTGCTGTCGATGCCCCTGGGCGCCGGGATGGCCCGGTATCTGCCGACGCGACGCTGGGGCGGGAATGGTCGGTTCTCCTTTACCCTCAACCCAGGCCCCTTTAACCGTAAGGAGCACTTACTCGTGGTCATGATGGCCAACGTCGCTTTCGGCAGCCACTACAACGGCGCGTACATCGTGTCCATTATCCAGGTTCTAAAGCTTGAGCGCTTCTACGGGGAGAAGGTGCTGGCCAACAGCATCCCGTGGCAAATGCTCACCCTAATTAGTACGCAGATGATGGGCTACGGCTGCGCCGGCCTGGCGCGACGCTTCCTGGTGTACCCGCCCGCCATGATATGGCCCAAGACTCTTCCCACCCTTGCGCTGACAAGGACGCTGTGCAGGGACCAGGACGACCAAGGGCCCAAGGGCCGAGAGGGCGAACGGGGCGCCTCGGCCGGCGGTTGGACCATGTCGCGATACCGCTTCTTCTGCATCTGCTTCGGGACCATGTTCGTCTGGTTCTGGGTGCCAAACTACCTGTTCGAGGCCCTCGCGCTCTTCAACTGGCCGACGTGGATCTCCCCCGGAAACATCACCCTCGCCCTCATCGCCGGAAGCACGTGCGGGCTCGGGTTCAATCCTTTGCCAACCCTGGACTGGATCACGGCGACGTACCTCGTCGATCCAATCGTGACACCTCTCTTTACCCTGGCCAACTTTGCCTCTGGAATGGCCATCGCGGGCATCATCGTGGCGCCGCTGCTGTACTTTAACAACGTGTGGAACGGCGCTTACATGCCCATCAACAGCATCCAGTTCTACGACAACACGGGCTCGGTTTACAACGTGCACCGCATCCTCAACCGCGACATGACGCTGAACGAGGAGGCCTACCGCGCCTACAGCGTCCCGTGGATGGCCACGACCATGGCAGTGAATTTTGCAGCCTGTCTGCTCCTCTACTCGGCCGTGCCCGTCCACGTCGCGCTCTGGTTCCGGCGCGATATTGCGGCCGGCTTGCGCTCGTGCTGGAGCCGCCAGAAGCGCTCGGAGCAGTTCCGTGACGTCCAGAACCGGCTCAACTCGGTCTACAAGGAGTGTCCTCACTGGTGGTATCTGGTGGTGCTGGCTCTTTCGTTTATCCTTGCCTGTGTCTCCGTGACGGCCTGGCCGACAGGCACCCCTGTCTGGGGAATTGTCCTTGCCGTCATCTTCACATTCTTGCTGCAGATCCCCATCGGCATGTTGGCGGCCATTTCCAACTTCGAAATAGGCTTGAGCCTGCTGGCCAATATCGTCGGGGGCTTTGTCTTTGAGTCTCAACCCATCCCTCACATGATCTTCAAAGCCTTCAGCTACATGGCGACGTCCCAAAGCCTCACGTTCGTCGCGGACCTCAAGCTCGCGCATTACGCCAAGATCCCACCGCGATGGGCCTTTGCCGCCCAGGTCTACGCAACCGTCATTGGAGCATGTGTGGCGTGGGCCGTCAACCACTGGTCGCTGCGCAACATCGAGGGCGTGTGCCTCGAGGGCCAGCGCGCACGCTTCACCTGCCCCGGAACCCATTCATTCTTCCTCGCCAGTGTCTTTTGGGGCGCAGTCGGCCCGCGCCGCCTGTTTGGCCGGGACAGTCCGTACCATGTCTTGCTGTACTGCATCCCCTTCGGCTTCTTCCTCCCCATTGCCGCCTACTTGGCCGTCAAGCGGTGGCCAACGTCGTGGCTGCGCAACTTCAACGCGCCCATCTTCCTGGCCGGGCCGTTCGGATGGGCGCCGTACAACTGGAGCTACATCCAGGGATCCGTCGTGCTGGCCATCTTCTTCAACTACTTCATCAAGCGGCGCTATTCGGGCTGGTGGGAGCGGTACGCCTACGTCCTTACCAGCTCGTTCGCGGCGGCGACGGGCGTGGCGGCCCTCTTCCTCTTCTTTTGTCTGCAGAAGTGGGACATTCGCCTCAACTGGTGGGGGAATGAAATCGCCGGCCGAGGCGTGGATCGGGGCGGCTTCGTGGATGGGGACGGGGATCAGGTTCGGTGTGCCCACTTGAAGCTGCCCCCTGGAGGGTCGTTTAGCTCTGGTTTCTGATCTGCCCTTGGGTTTATGGTTTGCTGTCTCGGCGTCAATAAGGCTGAAAGGGGGTTCTTGGGAGCGGTGTCATGTCCGTCCGACCCTAATCCATGCGTCAGTTACTGGAATAGAATTGGAAATGAAGTGTCATGAGCAAGCTTGATTGTTTGCAACCCGTAGTGTACTCTTACTCTTGGCCACTGCGTCATTTGGGGCTCTGTTGAGGCAGCATACCATTGACATCCGCCATTACCAGCTTTGATTCTGCTCGCTGCGATACAAAAGACCACCCCGTCATTGCTTCCCAAGACCAAATCACCCCGACTTTGGCTCAAAGCAACCAAGCATGGCCCTCTCCCTCGAAAATAGCGACCTCAGTGGGCTTGGATTATTACACAACCGAGCTCTCTCGCTTGAGCCATGCTCCCCCAGCCATATATCAACCACCCAGACAGCAGCTCCAATGGCGTTTCCTTTTTTTTATCTTTGGTTGGGAACATGTCCTTTGCATGTCCTTGCTGGAGACATCACACATGGAGATGTGCTACGCAGATAACCCGTAACAAGTTTCACATTAGCTTGCAACACCCAGAGCGATGTCGACATCGCCGCAGTCTGTCTGCCTGGCCGTCAAGAAAACACGCTTCTGAGCTCCTCCCCCGCTTTGCCTCCATGTACAATCTGGAGGACCAAGCATAACTAGCCCTTCTAATGGCTTTGAATCTTCTGCTACATAACGAAACCTCGTCCACGGTCAAGCTACCTCGGCCGTTCCTCAACAAGCAGGACACGCAACTGGTTTGGCATGCCGCTCTCGATCGAGAGCACAGCAATCTAGCGCGTTATATGACTTTCAGCTTGAATACGTTCAAGTCAATGTGCTTGACATGTCGTAAGCAAACATGTTCTGTTTGCTGTCGCGAATGCAAACGGACGTCGACGTTTTCCATTAAATAGAGCACCGGGGCAGGGCTAGCCCTCCAAGTAACGCCCACGAGCAAGGATCGGCTGGACACATGCACCTTGTACTTGACCTGATTCGCTGCTATAGTGCACCCCTCCGGTGCAGTTCTAGTTTCCCCATGCATAGGAACCATGGTCCTCCTGACATGCCCGTCCTTATATAGAGATCAGACCATGTCCCGTTTCTTCATCCAAACTCAAAACGGCGGCACTCTGCACCTTGTCCGTTCGTGGCTGGTCGTCACGATACCATGGCGCCCGTCGACCACTCGAAATGGGACAACATCGGCACGGATTCCGAGCCTGAAGTGTCGCCTCGAGAAGCCAGGCCAGGCCCATGCCCTACACCACAGCCGCCTGCACCCACTTCGACGACAACGTACGGCGCTGCAGAACCAATTCAAGCCGTCATCGTTTGGGGCGATGTCGAGAAACGCGGACGCTCGCCTTGGTCCGTCACCAGAATCGCCGCAGACCACCCAGCGTTTTCGACCACGGTGCCTCCCATCCCAAGCCTCATCGAAGTGCCGCTGGTCCTCCACCGCGATGGCTTTTCAATCGACGGGCCTTTGAACAGTGATGGCGAGATTGTTATCTGGCACAGAGATACACTCGCCCCGGGGAGGGAGGTGGGAATGATCCGGATGATTGGAGAGTGGTCAGGTCTCCTTATGAAGTATGAGACTTCTGTACGGCTGGACCAGCTGCCGCGTTGACGTGCGCAGAGCTGAAGCATTGAGATTACAGTCGTTAACCAGCAAAGCGAGACATATACATGGTAATATCCATTCTGTTCCGGCGTGTCGTGGCCCTTGATCCTGATGTACACGTCTCGTTTCTGCGGCCAGGTCTCTCGAGGCATTTGAGCCGTTTACCGGCGCCCGCCGGGCGAGTGATGCTGCTGCTGCAACGACGGCGTGGCCTCCAGTCGGTGCTCACGATCAGTCTGATGAATCATAGGCCTTGTTCATGCACTAAGTGGTGGGCGAGACTCAGACATGGCAAAGCATGTTTGGGGTTGACTCTTTGAGCATGGCCGCACTTGAACATGGCGAGAACTTGAGATGGGCTGGTCATAGCCTCGACAAGGCTCGAATCCCCCGAAGGTCTTCTGCAGACAAGAACTCGAGGGCTGGGTCACAGGAATCGGCGCAAATCTCTTCTTACTTCTGTGCTGAGGAGGAGATTGATTGTTCTTGTGTACGGAGCCTGTGGGTGGTGAACTGGGGATGAAGGCTGTGCTGGGCGGAGTGTTGAGTGCAGCCCCTGATTGGGCTAGGGAGCCAATAGAGGCGCGGACCCCCGCGCCTTTAAAGTCGGCGCGGACGTCCGCGCCTGTTATGTAAGCCCAGGCGGAAGATAGTCGGGCCGCCCCCTGACCTGTACTCTCCTTTTCTATTGCATGTGGCAAACTGTCGCACAGAGAGCCAGCCTCATATAGCATACCATCTGCGCTCAGAGTAGTTGTCCGCGGAAGCGATGCTATAATCCGCATATTAAGGTCGAGCGCCTGCATGCGTGGTGCTTGGACCCCATTGAGGCCAAAGCTCAAACGCAGGCTGCATTAAACCTCGCAGGCGGCCTCGGTTACAAGGGTTCTGCACCACGTCCACAAAGCAGGAGTTTCCTTTCCTTTGTGTATAAAGAGCTGCTCACTGTCGTGCACTACAGCTAGCTCTTCAAGATAATTCCAATATGGGGCTTACTGAATTCCCTGACGATTGCCTTCCTCCTGAGGGCCAGTTCGACTCGCGAGAGTCTCTTCTTGCCTCAATTAATGCGTGGGCGGCTCCAAGAGGCTATGCCTTCACCACAGGCAAGTCCACGAGAGACCCGCGGTCCGGAAGACGCACAGTCATATTTGCCTGCGATCGTGGAGGTAGACTTGGGGCTCATACAAGCAAGGACCAGAAGCCAGCTGATCGGCAACGGTCTACAAGCTCCCGTATCACTGGATGCCAGTTTTCCATCAATGCGAAAGAGAGCCTTGATAAGTCGTACTGGTATGTCAGGCATCGCCCAGGCGAGGAGAAGTCGGTCCACAACCATGAGCCCAGTCTGCATATTACAGCACATCCAGCTCATCGTGCCCTCTCCTCAACTGACCAGTCAGCTATTGGGAACCTCTCAAGCGCTGGCATAGCACCAAAGGATATCCGGACATATATGCGCCAGAGCTCTCAGACTGCCCAAGGAGCGACACAGCAAGACATATATAACTGTATCGCACAGCGCAGACGAGAGCTCCTTGCTGGCCAGAGCACAATGCATGCCCTTGCCAATGAGCTTGACAACGAGGGGTTCCAGAGCCGCATACAGCTTGATCATGATGGCCGAGTCACAGCAGTCTTATTCGCACACCCAGCGTCTCTAGGATACCTCAACGCATACCCAGAATTACTACTGCTAGACTGCACATACAAGACGAACAAATATAAGATGCCACTGCTCGATATGATCGGCGTTGATGCCTGTCAGCGGTCATTCTGTATTGCCTTTGCCTTCCTCAGTGGTGAAGACGAAAATGACTATATCTGGGCACTGGACCAACTCCAATCGATATACGAGTTATATGACATTCGCCAGCCATCGGTTATCCTGACAGATCGCTGCCTCGCCTGCATAAACGCAATTTCCCGGTGCTTTCCTGCGTCCAAGTCTCTGCTTTGCATCTGGCATGCGAATAAGGCGGTGCTTAGCTATTGCAAACCAGCTTTCGACCGTGACGATGAGGACTCTAATAGTGATGAGAGGTGGGCTGAGTTCTTTGGGTATTGGCACTCAATCGTGGGCTCGAAAGATGAGGAGACATTTGATCAACAAGTTGAAGAGCTCGAGAAGCGCTTTGTGCCACGATACGTCAAGGAGGTTAGCTACATACGGAAACCTGGTTGGACCCGTATAAGGAAAAGCTCGTCAAGGCCTGGGTCGATCAATATGCTCACTTCGGCAATGTGGCTACTTCCCGGGTGGAAGGCATCCACGCATTATTGAAGAGTCACCTTAAGAAGTCAACATTAGACCTCTTCGAGGCAACGAGGGCAATCAAGCAAGCTCTCCTCAACCAACTGGCCGAGCTACAAGCCAACCAAGCCAGGCAGCATATACGGATGCCAATTGAGCTCTCTGGAACCGTATATAGCACGGTACGTGGCTGGGTATCACACGAAGCCTTGCGACAGGTTGCAAAGCAACACAAGCGCCTCAACGAGAAAAACACCCCATCTTGCACAGGCAGCTTCACCAAGTCTCGCGGTCTCCCTTGTGCGCACGCATTACAGTCTCTCATAGTGGAAGATCTGCCCCTCCGGCTACAACATTTTCATACACATTGGCGCCTTCGACGGGATAACAAAGAGATTGGTCAGGTCCTCATAGAGCCTCGTCGGCGACTAGACCAACTTGTCGCCGCATCAAGGATATCACAGTCATCCACACAGCGCGAGCCAAGTGCATTTGAAGCCATAGAGTCAGATCTACGGCCAAAGGCGCCGCCTACATGCAGCAAATGCCACCAGCAAGGGCACATCATGACATCTCGCAATTGTCCTTTACGCTATAGCGACATACTGCAGCGGGCAGAGGCACGGGCGGCACAGACTGCAGAGACTGCAGCAATTGCAGGGACTGCACAGACTGCACAGACTGTACAGACGGTAGCAGTTCCAGAGACTGCGCAGACTGCAGCAGTCATGGAGAAAATGACAGTTGCAGTCACTACGGTCTCTACAGTCTCTACAGCAATTGCAGAGACTACAGAGACTACAGAGAATCTATTATATGATGACCCACGAGCCATCTATCAGAGGTATGTCAGGAAAGAGACTCTTGGTATAGAGCACAGCCTCGCGGCAGTCTCAAGACCAACCAGGCATACCGAAAGGCAATGGGCTTGCCATTGCGCTACAGCAAGACTGAATATGACTGGTGCCTCGACTGGAAGCAAATGTCAAGGAGCTGCGGCTCGAGGCAATGGACCAAGGTAGAGATGATGGCATACCTTGATTGGGATAAGGCAGAAGAAGAGCGATTAGATGCCCGGGTGGCCGAGGAAATTCAGGTGCAGCCTTTCTCACGAGAAAGAGGTACTGCAGGTATATGGGCTGACTGCGAGAGAGACTCAGAGGAACAGCAGGCATTTTATTCACATATATAAGTGGTGATGATGCCGGCGATGCGAAAATGTGAGGCAGATCGTGAGATCACCGACATGCACCGGCGTGTAGCACTGTAGCTGGCCAATTTTAAGGCGGTGAACTTCCCGCACCCTCCCTTGCCACGCAACAGCGGCGCCCTTTGCGTCACGTCAATCTACCAAATAGGGAAGGCTATGGGTTCGAACCTAAGGGATATCCTCCTTTGCAATTAATTGAAGCTATATGTATGCAGCAAGCATGCTGTATCGGTGAGGCCGACTGCGAGCGCAGTTGGCGGCGGCCCAAATGGCCTGCCAGGCTTACATAACAGGCGCGGACGTCCGCGCCGACTTTAAAGGCGCGGGGGTCCGCGCCTCTATTGGCTCCCAAATGGCCTGCCAGGCTTACATAACAGGCGCGGACGTCCGCGCCGACTTTAAAGGCGCGGGGGTCCGCGCCTCTATTGGCTCCCATTGGGCTAGCCTAGCTTAGTCAGTCTGAGCGGCACGAGCCCTAAAGGCTCGTGTCTGGGCCCACAGCCTGGGTCCGTAATCCTTGCCTTCTTCTTCTGCCTCTTTCTCACGGAGTAACTAACTTACTTATATATAGATATTACCTAATTACCCGTGTGCTGTACGCACGCACGTGACAAGCCCCCACCGACCTGTTGCACCCCCGCGCAGCCCGCCCGCCAGCGGGCCAACCAGAAGGCCGCCGAGGCCGGGGGCTGGCCCCACCAGCTCCCCTCCGTCTGCAACGGCCCCGCGACATTGCACCCCGCGCCATCCCCTGGCCCTCCCTCGGGATATGCAATATGGACAGCTACCCCGGACTCGGCCAGATTCGGCACAACGCTGAAAGGGGGCGCCAGTCACCAGGGCCGTAGCTCATGCTGTCTCGGCCAACAGGGAGGTCACCGCTCCCGCGTTGTCATTTGCTAGCAAATCCGTACCATTTATTCCGCCCTTTGGCTGTGTACGTCAGTCAGTGTCTGACGGGAGGAACCGACTTGACTGGACTTTATTGGCCGTACCTGATGTATCTCGGGCATGTATCTAGATAACGGCTACACTGGGTAGTTGCATCGCCTCCATTGCCGAATACAACGCTTCCTTCCCTGACCTCCATCAACCAACTTCAGTCAACCTCATCCTCTTTTCTCCCTTTTCTCTCCCGGCAGTTCATTTCCTCGACTCTGCCCGTCGTCTTTGCTTCCGCCAATCATCGCAGTCCTCCTCTTCCTTGTCTCCCACCCCGACATTTGACCCTGGGCTCTTGTCAAGGGAACCGAGGGTGCGTATTTCCACTTTCTCTACCTAAAGCCCCTCATGTGCCTCTTTGTGGACCGTCAATCGTGGCATGGCGGCAAACATCCTGCATCTTCCGTCTCCCGTCGCCATCTTCTCCCCCAACCCAGCGTGATCTTGCGCTTCAGCTAACGTCCTCGTGGACCATCAGCCAACCAGCGCCGGCCCCATCCCTCCATCTTCTTCCCCTCCCCCCCCCCCCTCCCACCTCCCCATGGCACTGCTCCGGAGAGCTGGACTGGCCGCACCAGCCATTGCCAGATGTCGTGCGCCCATCATCGGCTCTGTCCCCGCTTCCCTGTTCAGCACCCGCTCCCGTAAAGCGCCAACCCCGGCTGAAACATCTGCCTCTACCCCGCCTGCCGCCTCCGCTTCGGCATCTTCCGTCCGGCACCCCGGCAGAAGACAAGTCATCACCGCCGCCCGGCATGCCTCCACTTCAAGCTCCATCGCGACGGGCCCGGGCAACGTCTACACGGCGTCGTTTGCATTTTTCGAGGCCATTTGGGAGGCTGGTATCACCCACTGCTTTGTCAACCTTGGCTCCGATCACCCCAGCATCATCGAGGCCATGGTCAAGGGCCAGCGCGAGGCCAAGGGCAAGTTTCCACGCATCATCACCTGTCCCAATGAGGTATGCCTCGGTGGTTCTTGATGTCCCTGTCGCCGAGGTTCAAGCTGACTAGAGGCGTGCCTGCAAATCGTAGATGGTGGCCATGTCCATGGCGGACGGCTACGCCAGGTTGACGGGCAAGCCGCAGTGTGTCATTGTCCACGTCGACGTCGGTACACAGGGCCTTGGCGCTGCCGTGCACAACTCGTCCACCGGTCGCGCTCCCGTCTTTGTCTTTGCGGGCCTATCCCCCTTTACCCTCGACGGCGAGCTCCGTGGAAGCCGTACCGAGTTCATCCACTGGATCCAGGATGTGCCTGATCAGAAGCAGATTGTCGCCCAGTACTGTCGCTATTCTGCCGAGATCAAGACAGGCACCAATGTCAAGCAGATGGTCAACCGCGCTCTCCAGTTTGCAAAGTCCGACCCTCAGGGCCCCGTCTACCTCTGCGGCGCCCGCGAGGTTATGGAGGCCGACATTGAGCCTTACTCGCTCAAGCAGGGCGACTGGGATCCCGTGCAGCTCGGTAGTCTCCCTCAGAGCGGTGTTGACAAGATTGCCAACGCCCTCGCCTCCGCCGAGCGGCCCGTCATCGTGACCGGCTACTCTGGCAGGAACCACAAGATCCCCGGTGCGCTTGTAGAGCTTGCCAATACAGTAAAGGGCCTGCAGGTTGTCGACTCGGGGGGCAGCGACATGTGCTTCCCGGCTGACCATCCAGCCTGGAGAGGCTTGCGCTTCGGCGTCGACAAGGCCATCTCCCAGGCAGACGCCATCCTCGTCGTCGACTGTGATGTGCCGTGGATTCCCACTCTGTGCAGGCCCCGCGAGGACGCAAACATCTTTCACATCGACGTCGATCCGCTCAAGCAGCAAATGCCTCTGTTCTACATCGAAGCGAGCGCCCGATTTCGTGCCGACGCTCTAACATCCATTGAACAGGTCACCGCCGCCCTCAGGACGGGCCCCGCCGCCACCAAGTTGCAGGAGAGTGACACGACACAGGCCGCCGATCGGGTTGCGCGCGAGTATAGGGAGCACCTGGACGGCATCGCCCAGAGGGCCAAGCCGTTGGAGGACGGCAGCTTCGGCACGGGCCATCTGTCACGGACTCTCAAGAAGATGTGCCCCGAGGACACGCTCTGGGCCGTCGAAGCCGTCACCAACACCGTCTTTGTGCACGACAATCTCCAGCCGTCAATTCCTGGTTCGTGGATCAACTGCGGTGGCGGCGGCCTCGGCTGGTCCGGCGGCGGTGCTCTGGGCATGAAGCTGGCGACGGACGCCGAGAGCGGCGGCAAGGGCAAGTTTGTGGTGCAGATTGTCGGAGACGGCACCTACCTCTTCTCCGTACCGGGCAGCGTGTACTGGGTCTCTAGGCGATACAAGATTCCCATCTTGACCATTGTCCTTAACAACAAGGGTGAGTTGTAAAAGTATCCATTTTGAACCTCGGAGCTGACGTCGTGCTCGATGCAGGCTGGCATGCCCCCCGGCGCTCTCTGCTGCTGGTGCACCCCGATGGCCTCGGGTCCAAGGCGACCAACGAGGAGGCTAACATTTCGTTTGACCCCGTGCCAGACTACTCGGGTATTGCCAAGGCAGCCGCGGACGGCGACATTTTTGCGGCGCGCGTCTCACAGGCGTCCGAGCTCGAGGGCGTGCTCAAGGAGGCCATCGCAAAGGTGCAGGCCGGGCAGACGGCGGTGGTAGACTGCAAGGTTGTGCCGGGCTGCTAGGGAGGGCACGCGGCGACGTCGGCGGCCAGGGGAAGCATGGGGCGCTTAGAGTGTCCATTTTGTGTCTCCCATAAGCAGCATAAGCGGCAGTGGCGTGATAGAGGGATATGGTACACTCATCAACGGTGCATTGTTTATGCTTATCATGGCTGTGCAAGATATGTCGGTTGACACCCACAGGCATCGTGGGGAATGGCGAGTTCTGAGTCTTGAAGCCGCGCTCGGGGTGGGAACATTTCAGACGAGTTGCCGAGGTAATCGCAGAATCGAATCTGGTCTATTGTGTCCCGGGATAGACACGGCCAGGGCCAAGCCTCGTCGTCGTGTCGGATCGAGAAGAGTAGGCGTCTCCCTAGGACCACCCCATGGCGGCTTGTCGCCGCAGACCGACGTTGACAGACGCCTGTCGACCGGCGATTCCGTGTGGTGACAGGAAGAGGACGACATGGAAGCCACCAGCCGGCCACTTTGTGAGGTTGCCAAGTCGAAGACAAGACGGCAAATTCAAGGCCTTTGTCTCATGCCTATTTGGACGGCAGCACAAGGCTTGCTTACGTATGCAGGGCTGTGGAGTGAGTGGAGACTTGACCACGGGGAGCACGTGCGCTCCAGTTGAGCGTGCTGATTGGCTCAAACCCCCGTCTTCTTACCCGTTGCAGCGAGGCACATATCTTGTGTTGTGTACCAAGACAAGGAGCGTGCACGCAAGCAGGTACCCGGCAGGGCATTCACGTGCGTCGAGCTACCACGGGCAGAGCTGGGTGGGAAAATCTGTACAAGCAACGAAGGCGCCCGCTTTCCTCCTGACCTTGCCTCGCCTCGCCTCGTCTCCATCTCCATCTCGACCTCAGTCTCGACCCCGACCTCGTCCTCGTCATCCATCGCGCTGCCGACACTGATCCCGCCTCGCAATGGCCGCCATGCCTCGCCGCCCATGCACATGATGCCATCCCGTCTCGCCGCCTAGCGCCGCCCAGCGCGCCGCATCGTGGGCTGAGCCCTGTCGCCGGAATCATCAACGAGTCGCCCCGACAATCCATCTCCGCCAACCCGCTTGCTCGCCGCACTCGTCCGACTGCTTGTGCGACTGCGCACTCTTTTCAAGCCCGCCCCCGGGATTCCGACCGCTCCATCCATCTCGTCACAGCCACCTTGCACTGCATCACGTTGAGTCGGAACCGATTGAGAACATGCATGTTGGCGGACGCCGTGATACCTTGCCTGCTGCAGACCTCAAATCACAGCTGCCGGCATCTGTGACGCTGCCTTGGCTGCGCTGAAGCCCATCACCGCTCAGTCGCCGCTCCCCGTCAACGACGCCGCTGCCAACCGTCGCCATCCATTCGTTTTTCCCTCCCCATATCTGCCCCAAGCCGTGCTCGCTCTCCACGTCAATCATGGCGCAACCGAGCGACTCCGAGATACCGCTGCCGCCGGCTCCCTCGTCTGACCCGCGCCTCGGAATCGTCCTCGACGGCGCCAGCATGCCCATCGCCGACCAGCACGACTTGTTCCAGCTGCTGCCCATCGACGCCCTCCACCTGCTGAGCGCCAGCGTCGAGCTCCTCGTCCGCATGACGGGCGATGTGCCCCCGACACCCCCGCCCAAGACGCCGACCAATCCGCAGATGAGTGACATGCAGGTCGAAAAAGAGAACATTGCGCGCTCGCATTCCGAAAAGAGCCTCGCAAAGCTGTTGCGCCAGCAGCAGCAGCAGCAGCCGACAGGGCAGGTCACTGCTTCAAAAAAGGGAGATGCGAGTGATGTGTCTCCCAAGGCGTCCGGCCCGGCTGCCGCCACTCAGAACAAGCTGCTTGCATACAGCGCATCCATGACAGCCCAGCTCAAATCACAGCAGCAGCGGCAAATGCGACAGCACGAGCACGGCGGCATGGCCTCGTATCCGTCGCAAGGCCAGATCGACGGTGTCCAGCTCCGCCAGCGCCCACCACCAGCTCACCCGGGTGTCTCTCCTCCCGACGAATCCCGACCGTACATTGTTGTCGGCGCCGACTCGCAGCCCGTCAACCTGCAGCACGGCGCCATCACGCGCAAATTCTTCTCCAAGCAGATCCCCCCCATCCCCATCGGCCAGTACCTCCTCCGGCTGCACCAGTTTTGTCCCATGAGCACCGCCGTCTACCTCGCCACGTCGCTCTACATCCATCGCTTGGCCGTTGAGGAGCGCGCCATCCCCGTCACGCGCCGCAACGCCCATCGACTCGTCCTCGCCGGGCTACGCGTTGCCATGAAGGCCCTCGAGGACCTGTCGTACCCGCACACTAAGATTGCAAAGGTGGGCGGCGTCAGCGACGTGGAGCTCGCGCGCCTCGAGATTAGCTTCTGCTTCCTCGCGGGATTCGAGCTCGTCGTCGGCGAGGAGCCGCTGCGTCGGCACTGGGAAGCGCTCCGCGACGGCAGGGCGCAGCAGATGCTTCGTGGCACCGAGGTGCCGGCGCTCACGCTCGGGAGGATGCCGAGGGAGGTGCCGGTCACGCCCGCGGGCGGTTAGGAGGGCAAGACTATTTCTCGGTTGGCGGGAGAAACCGCAGAAAGGCGAGACGAATCAATGACGAGCAGGAGGGAGTCGTACTTTGGGCAGTTCAGCGTGGACGAGCGGGAAATGGATGGGCTTGTTGGGTCGGGGCATGGCGGTTTCAACATGGGCATACATGTATATCTTCACGGGACGGCGGGCTGTACATGTACTGGGCTGGCTTGGAGTTTTTTTCTTTCTACCCCTTACCCCTTTTTTTTCTCTGTAGGCTTTCGATACCCAACCCCCTCCGAGTTTGATCATCGAGTAATATAATGGCGCTGGGAGGAATGCTCCTACGGTTCATTCATTCATTTGTTTCGTCGCCGATGACGGATCGAGGCTCGTGTGCGCTTTCCACCGGCCAGTTCCCAGCTGCCGCCCTGGCAGAGCGTGCAATCGACTTGGAACGACCAATACATCTCGGGCGTCTTAACCCCCCTCCCGATCTCGTCGCATTCAAGAGGCCATTGGTTGCTCGTCCTGGGACAAAGGTCGCTGGACATATCATGCCACGCAACTGGATCCCCTATGCATCCCGTCAATGAGGCCATCGTCTGCTACCTACAATCGCGTTTGGCAACCTCGGCCACAACTTAGCCGAGACTCGCCGTGGCAAAGCGTGCCGAACTTGCCAAGAACACAAAGAGCCCTTGTGTAGCGAGGCTTCGCACGTTGCCTCGCAGAGTCGCAGTTGAGCGCTGACGTGCATAGACGAGGAAACAGCGACAGGGGGCGGAGGCGAGGTTCCAATCGAGTAGCCTGGCGTTACAGTCGACTAAGACGGCATCCATCTCACCGGCGCGGAGAATGGGGCCGTCCCTAGTCTCCGTGCTGCAGTGTGGAAGTCGGATGCCGCGTCCAGGCCTTTGTGTGGGCTGCAGATCGGGGATCGGTGCAACTCGAAGAGTCGATAGCCTGTTGTATGCTGGGTGTCCCGATATATTATATGCACTGCTTTGAAACCATCTTTTCTCTCTTCGTGTTGATTCAGGTGGTGTGGTCCTGTGTGTTGACCTCAGTTGATGCATGGAAATCGTTGACCGTCCCATGTTGGGTACTTTGATCTCTTTTGCTCCCCACCCAGTCTCTCCAACTGGTCGGGACATCCCATAAAGACCGGTACCCATGCCTCAATATCCCCAGAAAGACTGATGACCGTGCAGACGCGAAGAAATCTCTCTAGGCATGAATGTCCGCTCCGGGATGCCTCGGGCGGCTCGGGTGTCCCCGGGTTCCGCGCGCACGTAGGTGGACAGCCGGGACGCATTGAAAGAAGTCCTGACTACTGGGCTACAATATGTTTACGTCGCCGGATGACTGCAGGATCCCTTGCCGTGCCGCTAGCCCGAGCCCATGCAGCCACGGCCCGGCGCCTGCATCCAGATGGTTCACCCAACAACGGGAGCAGCCACTTGGACGCGAGCTCGGGCGGCGGCAAGTTGTCGTTAAGGAGAGTACTGTTTGTTTTGCCGATGATCCGGAGCCGCCACTTTGTTTATTGGCCGAGGGGTGGCAACCTTGCTCCCAGCCAGCCGTCCATCTCACAATAGGAGCAGCCTTCTCCACGCCCATACTTTATCTCATGCTCACAACTAACATCGGAAATGACGTGTAGAGACTGTAATTGTCCGTTTTGCTCGCCTTCCTCTACTTTCAAAACCCGTCTCCACCCCTTCCGCCGGTGGGCATTGATGTCTGTAGCTCAAGGGGGGACCTTCTTGCAAAAGCTCGACCAAATCCGTCACAATCCAAGGTCCCGCCGTCTTTGGAGCTTCGAGTGGAGAGAAACATGACACGACGGCCCGCGTCCAGAAGAGTCTACATGTACAGGGGCAATGCAGTATGGTGGAGTCGAGATGGAACCCCTACTGGTTGCATAGAGCCGTTTGTCCCGAGATCAAACGTTCCATGCCAACTCGATGAAGCGTTCAATGGAGCGAAAGAATTCCTTTATATTTCCAGCCCCTTCTCTATGTGAGCTGGCCACCGCTCCTCGGATTAGACCGCACCAGCCTCAGCGAAGATGGTGTCCAAGGGTGTCACAGCGCTTTTGATTCTGAGCACTGCTCTGCAAGGGCTCGCTCAAAGCCAAGCCCGGATTCCCGTCACCGGCGCCCCCGTCAGCCAGCAACCCGGGGTGGGAGCGCCTCTGAGGCGGTCCATCAATGACCTCCAGGCGGCTGGAGGGCCTCAGTGGTATGCTCGACTGGACCCAGGCTTGAACTCCTTCTTGATGTTTAACGCGTCGGTAGGGATTTATATATCCTCGCCCTTTCGTCTTTGCAGCTGGACAATGACGAACAAGAACTGAGCTACTTCCAAATCGAGGGTACGATGGATACACGTCTCTCACTCATGATGTACTTGCTTACCTGCCTCTGAAGGAATCCACGGCGTGCCGTTTATCGAATGGAACGGAGCCGGGCCTCGCGTCAACGGCAACTGGGGGGGATATTGTCCTCACAATGTGAGAGCTTCCCGCCACTTGACCTGGTCTACCGATCTGCTAACGCCCACCCAGGAGAATATATTCCTATCATGGCACCGAGCCTACGTTGCTCTCTTCGAGCAGACCCTGGTCGCGAGAGCCAAGCAGCTGGCGCTGATGTACCCGCCCAACCTTCGGGCCCAATACGTCCAAGCCGCAGAGTCCCTTCGACAGCCCTACTGGGACTGGGCCAGTGATCCCAGAGTGCCCCCTTCAACTGTCTCGCCATCCGTCACCGTAGTGCACCCCTCTGGAGGGCAGCGAGTCAACATTGAAAATCCGTTGTACAGTTTCCGAATCCCGCCAGCCGTGTTGAACGGCAAGTACGGAACATTCGACGCTCAAAGGAGGCCGCAAACTCTTCGCTGTCCAGCTCCAAACTCGTATCCCGCCTCTGCAAACGCCCTGATGTCGCAGAGGCCGTATAGGCAGTGGATGGTAAGCAGCGCATGGCGTACAGCCGCCATAAACGCTCCTCACTGATGCCAGTCTTGCAGTATGACGTCTTGACCCGTGCTCGCGACTTTACCGAGTTTTCCTTGGGTGGCAACATCACGAGCCTTGAGCAAATCCACAACGCGGTTCACTGGGACGCCGGATGCGCCGGCATGTTCCTAGACACGGGGGTCACAGCCTTTGACCCTCTATTCATGCTTCACCATTCATTTGTAGATCGGATCTGGGCGTTCTGGCAAGCCCTGCGGCCAGACCAGGATGTCTTTTCAACCCCGTATGCGGCGCGGGCTCGCTTCTCGACGGCGGCGGGAACTGCCATCGACTTCAACTCGCCGCTTCAACCCTTTTTCCATCGAAGCGGCGCTTTCCACACAACTCTCTCTGTGAGAGCCATCTGGGAGTTCGGCTACGGCTACGAGGGATTGGAGTGGTGGGCAAAGTCGGCGGACCAGATGCGGCAAGACGTCATCAACATCGTGAATCGACTGTACTCGACAGGCCGGCCGGCTTCAGGGGCCAAGCGACGCTCCGAGGAGGCAACTACACGTTACTTTGCAACGGTGTCGCTCGACATCGCGCAGGTGGAGCGCCCTTGCCAGGTCGTGGTCTATGTCGATGGGACAAGGGCGGGCAGTCTCGTCATCATGAACCGGCCGCAGAGTGGCGTCGTCCGGACGGGCTTCGGGCTCGACGGTGTCGGGGAAGATGCAATGCAGGCCATTGTCGACGGCAAGGCCGGCGGCTCGGCAAACTCTTCGGTCGAGGTCGAGATCGTCAAGGTAAGTGATGTTTCACTCTGAATCCCACCACCAAAACATGGCTGAACTTTATGACTTGCCCTCCAGCCCGATGGGAGCAGAGTTCCACTGAACAAGGTTACGAGTCTCAAGGTTGAGGTGCAAGCCGTTGGCATGACACCCGCGTTGAGCCTGGACCAGCTACCCGAATACGGATCGTCGAGGCGACACAAGGTTCATGTGAGTGAGGTGAAGGCCGAGAAGCATTGATTAGCGGTTTCAGTGCAAAACTGGCGGGCGGGACTTCTGTATTCTTGGTGGCGTGTCGTGAGGCTCTCGGAATCTACATGATGTGGAAGTAGCTGGAGCAGGCGAGGAACGGATGAGGCTTGATGTACCATGTTTGCACGAGCGGGACGAATCACCAAGTGAAACAGGGTCGGACGTGAACAGCAATGTTGAAGCCCAACTAAGCGTCCATTTCTATCCTGACGAAGCTGGACGTGCGTTGAGCGACGGCGACTTGTAAGTATATGGACCTGTATGTATCCCGAACCTCAACTAGTTGTTGAGAAGAGAGAAATGATATTTTACATCATGTTTGCACGTAGGAAAACCATGCAGCGGTATCCCCGGTTAATTTCCAGCCGAAGCCTCTTCTCATTCATGCTATGCTATCCGTACCGGGAGCAGCATTGATGAGTCGCGTCTAAATCCTTCTTGCAGAACCTCCTTTCGATTCCTCCAACACCTCCAGCATCACGGCTTGCCAAACGCAAGCAGCTCAGCGGCGCTATCGCAGCCGAGGCCGCCACAATATGCCCAGCTCATGGACGCGACACAAGCCAGGTCATCGCTCAGTCGATACATGCAAGACAAAGTCCGGTGGGTTCCCGGCGGCTGCTGCAGAGAAAGTGACGACGATACAGGCTCGATTATGATCGGACCAGAGGCATAATCAAAATTCGAATGCCCGCCCCAATCCACTATTTTCATTGCCGCATCAGTGGACAATGAAATATTCAGCCAGCTCCAGATACTCGCTGCTCGACGCGACGAGGCCGGCGATTTCGCATGTGGGATCAGGAACAGGGGTTCGTCCCGCATCCTCCTAAAGGAAGATATGACGTCGGCCAGTCCGCTGCAACGACATCCCGACGGATAGGTTCAGCATCGCAAGGCGGCTTATCCTGGACTGGTTCTGGATGTCTCCTACTCGCAATCCGGCGAGGATCTGGAGAAGATGGCATGGGAGCATATACACCACTCCAACGGGGACGTCAAGGCCGTCACTGGCACTGACATCAACTACGGCGTAAACGACTCGACTGTTTCGCTGTGGCGCCCGGTTTATATTCAGGAAGGGGCGAAGACATGGACATCCTCGACGTCAACCGGGACATTGCAGGCCAAGTAAGTCGCACGCGCGTGGAACCGAGACAAACTGTTAGACGCGAGACTGAAGCCCGCACGGCCTTTTCGAGCATCGGAGGGGTCCAACGTCCAGGGAAAGGCTATCTATCCCACTGACGCTAGGCGATTTCGCTACCGACCAACTCTCCGATGTACTTGGGACAGGGTCGCTGTCGATGACGTGTAAACGGCTTACAGTTGAGCAGATGCATCAGGTACGAGAAATGACTCGAGGTGGTGGTATTAAATCGCAACGAACGAAGAAGCGCAAACGACCGTCTCCTCCAGCCGATCTCATCTGGTCCGACGACGAGGCAGAGTTTCGCTCCCAGGAGGAGCGGGTAGTCGAGCGGGTCGCTACCGAAGATGGGAATTTTGAGCCACCAGCGACGAGGAGGCGGCCGTAAACCGATTCTCTCCTGCGTCAAACTAACGTGTTGGTACCGGGTCTTATCTCTTTTTCTTCTCAACCGGGGTGACACGACACCCGCGACCATCCAAGGGGTGCTGGTGAGACGCCGCGTTACAAACAAGGCGACATAGCACGTACGTCAACGTACAAATCCAGGGCCAGCCAGACAACGACCTGGAAGTTCCCATCCCCACTCCCATGGTCTTTGTTTGTGTCGGGCTTGACACAGACGATAAAAGTGTGCATAAACACCTGCGCGTTGGGGCCACCCAGGAGAGGCTTGAGTGGTGGTCAGCGCTCAATCTCCAACGACAGGCAGCTTGCCATGACCTTGTCGGGGCCGCCGCCGATTGGCTCCGCCAACTCATCTCCCTCGAAACAGAGGCCACAACCAAGGAGGCTGCACAGCAGATTAGGAAAAGGCTGCTACTCAACAAGTTGGAATGCCCCATTAGACAGGTCGCAGAACAATCGTTCTGACACTTATCCCCAACTCCTACTGCAGGAGAGCTGCAGGCTAGTCTGCATGACTCGGAAGAGGTAGTCCGCGCCGTCACTCTAGAGATTCGTCCCGGTACCAATTTGGAAGTCGGCTACTGGTGGATCTAGAGGAAGTCCTGGGAAAAGATATACAGGCCATTTGATGCAAGGGATGGTTAAAGACTTAGTCTGACTGGTAGACATTCCCTCCCTGGTGAGGCGGTATTTCTAGCCTGCTCTAGACTTCTAGACATACTATCTAGTTTAAGACGAAAGATTTCTTGAAAATCAGATCTAACGCAGAGTTAGCAAACCAAAGCCCCCCCTCTCTCGTCGGAATGTAAGATTATTACTTATGCATTCCTATACGGTATTACGCAGATATATTATGCTATGGGAGCGTTTTCTTTTAGGAATCAAGCGCTTATAGGAATTCCGATAATTAATAGGATCATTCCAACGGTATAGTTCAGTTATAAGTACTTTAAGAAGTCGATTAAATATAGTTAAGCAAAACAGTATTCAGTTCATTCTATATTTCAGTTAAATATATAAGGACACTGAGTCCCCTCGCTATCCAAGCTTACCCTCTCTTAAGTTAAAGCGCATTGAGCAAAGACGTGCTATCCATTGTGGTTACTTCTAGGTTTCATCTTCACCTACTATTATCAGAAAGATGAGGCCTAAAACAATTTCTCTGGCATTCCTTATCGGAGCCGGGCTCGCTACTGCAGCTAATCGCATTAATTACGCACGTAACGAAAACCATTTATCTGGTGATTACGGCGAGGAGCATGATACATACGCTTCTACAAACATTGAGGATAGGCCTGTGCCAGAACCAACTACGAATACATGTACACAGAAATGTCATCGGGGTCAGAAGAGATGTGGCGCCGAGTGCATTCCTAAGGCATCCAAATGCTGTTCTCACCTCGAAAAGAAGTGCGGCGACAGTTGTATCCCGCAGGACCATGTATGCTGCGGCCCCAAGGGATTTCATTGCGGCCCCGAGAAACCATTCTGCACTGACGAACGAAACGAATGCTCCAAGTGTCCAAAGGGGGCCAGTTGTTGCGCCGACGGGACGACCTGCGAGGGTAGCAAGCCTCAGTGCACGGTCGACACGGGAGGCCGGACCATGTGTTGTGCTCGAGGTGAAACCGTATGCAACGGACAATGTATTCCTAGCGGAACTAATTGTTGCTCCGATGGGACGACCTGCGGGGGTGACACGCCTCAGTGCACACCTGATACCACGGGCAAGCCGATTTGCTGCCCCCTAAATAAGATTGCGTGCGCCGGACAATGTATCAACTGTACGCAGACATGCTGTGGTCCGGAAGGACATTATTGCCCCCACCCGGACGACGTCAGGCAGACCCCCGATCTAATCTGTGTTTACAACCCAAAGAGCCCAACTCCCGATAGCGCGGGTTGCTGTAACAAAGGACAGAAACTTTCGGACGACGGGCGTTATTGTCCGCAGATTTAGATCTAAGTCGAGCCGAACCGTATTCCTGTCGGGTAAAACCGATAGTTAGGTAAATAAAAACATGTTTGATTGATCCTCCCTCCCAGTTTCTAGCTAAAACAAAAACTCTTCTTTTATTCAGCCTGAAGGCCGTTCTATGCCTGAGGAACGGACGGCCTTTTGAGCTCGCCTCTGGCCCCTGTGTCAGACAATTGGCTCCACGTAGAGTAGAGATAATTAGCACCAGGCAACTGAAGAGAATGATATGGAGAGCAAAAGAGATACGGTTGAATGCACACATCCGTGCTATATACACCCCAATCGTTGCAGCGAAACAGCAGCGACGCATTGCCAGGGATCAGACATAACGTTCCAGTGGCCGTGATATGCGACACAGCCCCAAGCGCTCAGGGACCAAGTCAGCGTTAACTGTAGCTATTATAAACAGCCATATGTTTATTTATCATCCTAATAAAAAAGCTTTATCTTCTTAGTTTACTCCCCCTTAATATTAGTTAGATTTAGCGTTAATTAAAAGTACTTAAATTTCGCTCTCGATAACGCTTTTATTAATCCGTCTACTTATATATAACTGGCCTTTAAGTATTTTAATAGGAACCTTATTATAACCTAATAAGGTCTTAAGACCTAATAAGGGTTATAGTAAGCTATAGATTAATATATAGGAAGAAAGGTTAAGCTTATACCTATACGTACTTATAGGCACGCCCTCTTTATCTTAGGAGTAATACTATTAAGTATTACTATTTATATACTAGTATATTACTATTTATATACTCGACCTATTTCTAAGATATATATAGCTACTAGCTAAAGTTTATAAACGCGCGCCTTATACTACTATATCGAAAGATTAATATATATATTTTAATTAATAGTAACTTTATAGAAAAGCTATAAAAAGTAAAGCTATATATATTATATAATAGCCTTACTTTTAGTATTTAATACTATATATACTAGCCTTAAGCCTAGCGTATAATTATAAGCTAGCGTGGTATAAAGTTAATTAGTTAGTTAATAAGCTCTTATAAGATTAAATCCTATACTAAATATTCTTATAAAGAGAGATATAAGAAGTATATATAAATATATAAAGGTAAAATTAAAAGTAAGGGGTCGGATAGGTAAGGTAAAGTTATTTAATTCTTATAGGGGTAGTAATTATAGTAGGGGAGTAATTATTATATTGCCTTAATTATTATTATTTCCTTTATCTAACGCTCCTTTTTATACCTATCTAGTATTTTAATTAATAAAGAAGATCCTACTTAAAGAAGCTATTAATATCTTCTTAACTACTAAACTTTTTACTAGTTTTTCCCTTTTATTCTAGCCGTTACTAGTATATCTATCTTATCTCTCTCTACCTTTATAAGAAGCTATCGCTACTTTTACTTCCCTTCTTACCCTTACCCTCCTCTCTATACCTCCTTTTAGCTTATTCTTTTAGCTCCTTTTTCTTAACCT